ACGTAAAAACTCTGGTGTCACTTATGAATGCTACATCCTCTCACTTATCTGATTGTGTGTTGGATCTTCGTACAACGCTAAGACGTTAAACTATATATTTCTCTACCGCCGCGAATACTCCAGGACGCAACAATAATTATTATATATTTGGTGTCAGAAACTTTCTTCTCAGCTAGCTAGGCTTCATTTAAGCCGGTTTTTATTATTTTATAAAACAGCAACAGAGAAAATAATCTTTTAAAATTATTATTGATATTAACTTAAAAAAATTCAAAATAATAAGAAAATAATTATCAAATAAAAATAGTAGTTACAATCTAGCAAAAAATTATCGCAAGAGAAACCCAAGACTTATGAAAATTTTGTATTTTAGAAATTTAATCTATGATATTATGATTTATATATGTTTCATTTGGAACAGCTTTCTTACTGCTTCTTAAAATAATTTTTTAGTATAAATTTTTTTATTTTTTACAAGAAAGTTGATTTAAGAAACAGTAAAAAAATCGTCACAAACAAAATCTTAAGCTGAAATATATATGATATTTAAATTATGATATTGTATTTCTTTAAAATTAAATTTAATAATTATAAATTAATATTAATTAAACTTTAGGGTGGAAATGCCCTGATCCATTTTTTAAAATATTACACGCTTGATAAAACTCAAATTACAAAACATTCAAATTTTTACATATGAATACAGGGAGACTTCTCAAAACGAATGAATTAAGAATATAGCACACAATTGTACAAACTACAACCCATGCGATCAAACTCACAAATAATTTTCCTAATAATAACAATTTTTTTTAATATTGTTGATTTACATATAACGTAGTACCTAACGGCGTCATAACGCCCACCGTTAAGTTTTAAATAACCATCAGCTGCGGAAATCCCAGTTGCGGGTGGGGAGACAGTGGAGAGAGCGGCGGCAAGCTGAAGAATCCCTTCGCATCCGTCCCGTCCCAAACCGCAGACCAGATTGACGGGGTTAACGGTTCTTCAGCCAGAATATTCCACTCAGATTCCTCCAATCTCTCCTTCTTCACTACCCTCTGTTCTTCTTTCTCAATCTCTCTCCCCCTCTTCTCCGGCTGCATTGGTAGTGCCGCCGCGGATGGAGGCGGATGAACCCAATCCGCCGAGCTACCAACCTCATTTGGAAAGTTGAGAATGGCCTTGCTTCCGCGCATCTTGAATGCGGCGCGGTCGTACGCCCGCGCGGCCTCCACCGCGGTATCAAATGTTCCGAGCCAAACCCTAGATCCCCGGCGTTTAGGATCGCGGATCTCCGCCGCGAACTTCCCCCATGGCCTCTGTCTGACGCCACGGTACCGGTTACCGTCGAGCATCTCCGGCGCCCGGTTATCATCGACAGAACCGTCTATCCACTCTACCTTCGGAGCAGCGGTGTGAGGGACACTGAGCTTGAGGCCTACCTCCAACCGGTCGCCGCCGAATCGGATCATCGTTTGCGCGGGTTCCTGGAATCTGAACCCGGTGCCGCGCGGAACAGTATCGGGGTCTTCCAGGTAGTCGGAGATGCTAAGATCGCCGGGAATTGGGGTGATTTCCGCTTCCGTCAGTGATGTCGTCTGCGCGGGAGACTCCAGGCCGGTTAGGATGTCGGCAGCGTCGCCGAAGAGGTGTTCGCGGATGATAACGAGGTTGGAGATGTCTTGGCTCGCCATGGATCGGAGTTCAAAGAAAGGATGGTTGGATGGGAGGAGAAGACGCCTTTGTGGTGTTTATTTATGCTTGTGGAGAGATGGGAGTAGGATGGGATGTAGTGACCGCCTTGCGGGATCGTGGGGCTTCCTAGAAGGCGAAGAAAGAATAGTGCGAGAAGAATTTTAGCGACTCTGGGCTCTATTGCGTGGCGAGAAATATTTCCAGAAGTTTTTTATAATTATGGCTGAAAGGGAGAGTTACCTGCGAGGAAGGAGAGAAGCGGACGATGGTGCGGGGCCTGGCAACTTGGGATGGATCTCCATCTTAAAAAATTTAGGGGAATTTGTACAGATGGAATTTGTACAGTTTTTTTTTTTTTTTTTTTTTTTTTGAGAAAATGAAATTTTACAGATAAAATCAAACCGTTGGAGGAAAATTATTGGGTCAGGTCATCGGATATGTTCGGAGTCCAATGAAAATGCGTCACATTAACTCCTACTCGGTTCTAAGCTCGATACTGAACAATATCAAATAGTACCGAGCTCGGTACTACTCGGTACTCAGTACTTCACAGTATCGAGCTCAGTACTGTGAATACTAGACGTAAGCTGTGTCAACTGACGTGATCCAATAATTTGGCCGAGAAGTGGTTGCTTTGCGATAACAAAATTGGTGTGATTAGGAAATATATGTCTCGTCTGCTTTTGTTTCTATTTGGTTAGGATTTATTTGAGTGAACATAACCTTCTGGTTGATTGTGGATTAAAATATATTAGGCTTGTTTGATTGTTTATAAATACAAAATGTTTCAGAAATTAAAAAAACCTTTCTTTAGGATCTTTGTTTTTGTTTATTTTATTTTATGTTTCGAATTTAAAATAATTATATTTAATAGATTTTGGAGTATTTTGTGAAGTTCAAAATCAATTTTGCCTTGTAATTACATTCAAGCAAATGATGAAATATTTGAAAAAAAAAAAACTTATTTATTTATTTATTTTCTAACTTAATGTAATTAAATGAGTCCATCGAGAAAATTATGATTTCATTTTTCACTTAATTTATATGTTAATAAAATATATCTTACGTGTGAGAAATTAAAGTCAAATAGAAAAGTTTTGATTGCCTTAAAAATGAGGATATCTTATTTATAATATGGGAAAAAAAAAGTATAGTGAGGAGGGCCCACATAATTTTAAGGGCTTCAACAAATGCTTTAGAAGTTTTCAATTATTTCTAAATGCTTGATTTAAGTCCCATTTGGGCTCGAATTAAAACATTTAACATTAATAAGATCATCTTGTCGAATGGTTTCATCCTAACTATAAATTTGTTGAAAAATTGAAACTAAGCCATTAGTTCAAAAATAAATACAATTAAGCCATTACTTCAAAAAAAAAAAGGATAGATCATTTAAGTCCAAAGAATATTAAGATGCAGCATAAAAATTGTATTCCAAGGGCAGCACATGAGAGGCTCAATAAGAGGGGAAATTATTCCGTACAGCCACCGAATCATCCGGAGGCGAATCAAGATACGCCAAGTCATTCGATACACAATAGTATATAGCACCGGTACATAATAAAATATGGCGTAGCGCATTCTGATTCGCCTTCGAATAAAATCTGGTGACCGCACAGAATGATTTCTCCAATAAGAGAGACTCCATACAAGAGCCATTCATGATAATAAGAGATACACAGTTATTAGAAGCCCAAAAAATCCAAAAAGAAAAAGAGGACCTTTAGAAATAAAGTTATTTATCCTTCTATAACCATTTTTTCACATAAAAATGTCTTTGGCATCTTCATTTCATGAATCTTTAAACTTCCAATGTAAAGCCTATAATCAACCAAAAATTTAACTTGAACAACTGCTGGTAAGCCTAGCTTTTGCAAATAGAAAAATTAGAAAAGCGGCAATCATTCCTAGTTCTTCAGAAATAATAGATAAGCGTGAAGGAAATCAAGAAGTGGAGCTTTTAACCATATAGTGTGATTACCGCAACCATCAAGAAGCTGAAAAGAAAGGGAGCATTTATAAAAAAAAATTATGGTGATGAGATTCAGGAAGAAATGCAAATCTTATAGCCTCTATCTATGTTAACACCCTAGCAGTAAGGTTACATGTCATCTATGTTGCACCGATACGGATACGGCGAAACGGATACGACACGATACGGATACGGGACATGTCAATTCTTAAAAATACAAGATACGGTTACGACGCATACATGACATTATAATTTATAAATCATACATAAAAATTAAGAAAACAATCAAAGCGTAATATTTGAAATTACTAAAGAAAAAAAAAAACAACATTTATAGTCTTGTAGCTTATAATATCAAAATATAAGTAAGCATTAAATGTCTAGTACAACAACAAAAACATAAATATAAATTGTCTAGCACATCAAGTTTCAACTATTCAATAGAATGAATGATATGATTAGCTTCTTCAGAGGTTTGTCTTTGAACGTCTATATTATCTTCAATAAATATCATAGCTTCTAATTCAGGCTCATCAAATCAAAGATTAGCAATTTCTAATATTCTCATATCATCAAGATACTCAAATCCATCTCAGAAATGTGAGAACCTTGCTTGTAGCCGTGGAAGTAAATACGACGCGTATTTTTTTTCGGATATCTTTTTGTTATTCAACGAGTGGCCTTTTGAATTTAAATAGTATTTCAATTAGATATGGCTTTACCAAATCCGACACGTATCGGTGCTGTATCAGAGGTGCATCGGTGTATTGGTGTATCAGATACAAACGCATTCATAAATAGGAGTATGGTGCAACATAATCTGTCATGTTTAAGCCACTTGAGTGAGCCAATCAAGCGAAAAGTCTTTAAGCCAAAAAAGCCCAAACCAATCCAAGTTTGACACATTAAGGAAAGATATTTCTTCGCACTCTTGATTGAGAAAAATAATCGAAAGGCCCCAAGAGTGCAAATTAGACAATGATGTCACAAAGAAAAAGTCTTAGCACAATTGATTAAGAAATGCAAGGGATTATCCTTCTTAACAATTGGGCATAAGAGAGAACACAATGAGGCAAGTTGAAAATATTGAAACAGTCATCACTTCGCATTTCAAATAAGAAGCTTCCCAATCCAATCTTTATAATAAAGAAAATTTTTAATGCCGAAGAACTATCGTCTCATAAAAGGAGCTGCAAGCATCAAATCAATATTTGACACTCCTTGAAAAATCGACTCAAAAATTTCAGGTTAGGATCAAACCGTTTGAGAAATGGGTCGGATTTGGGTTCAAAAAATTGATCTATTTCATAAATCGGTCCGGGTTCAGATTGACTCGCAAATCTGGGAATGACCCGGATTGACCCCTGCTAACCGCATGTGCTCGTTGCCCGCATCACGTTTGTCTGGATACCCGCGTCACATGTCTCTTCGTGTGAGTCACGTCCTGTTAACGCCGTTGTTGTCGCTGTCGTTGTCACCTCTGCTGCTGTTGCGATGTTGTTGTCGATGCTGCTCAGTGCCTGACCTAGCCATTCGGTTTCAACGCTCGGAACTTGTCCGCAGGTCGAGTCTGGTCAACCCGTTAACCAACACGAGTCGGGTCCAGGTTGAAATTCCCTACTTGTTTATAACAACAAATTGGGTCAACTAGTGTCGGGTCAATTTCAATTTCGATCCAAACCCGACTGGTGACCTAATTTTAAAAGCTCTAGCCACAAGCATCAAATCATATAAAATGGGGAGAAACCAAACAAATCTTCCATATTGAGTGCTATAATTTTTCTAACACCAATTGGATACAAGGGTAGAGAAGCCAAAAAGTAGCAAAAAATTCTTTCATTTTGCACATGAAATTAGGTAAGAAATATAAACGTATTATTCTAGCAATGATAAAAGTTAAATTTACTAAGCTAACATCTCATCGACTTGCATATCACAATGAACAAAAAATTTAACAATTTCTTATGCAATACTTTCAGATCAGAAGGTTCACAATTGCAGATGAAATGGTGGCTCCATGTTTGAGAAAGAAAATCTCACAAGACCCACACTCGAATGTTAGCTAGCCCCATAAAAATAAAAAGCTTTGCAGTTCATAATAAAAAAAATAACAAAAGACTTTGTGAGAATATTCTATGACAAATATATTTATAAGACTGTAAATGGATTAGGCGTTCAACAAGTTACTCACAACTTTGCTTGTTTATATCTTATTTGTAATTATTTGATTATGTAATCAAACAAGGTTGAATACATTTTTTTGTTCATGAACCATTTCATATTTTTTTGCGTGCCTGATCAAGATGATTTTTTTTGTTGATATATCAATATTGTTCAATGTTCATGAACCATTTCATATTTACTGGTGTTGCGTCTTGGAATATTCGCGGCGGTAGAAAAATATTAAATTTAATGTCATAGCTTTGTATGAAGATCCAACACACAAGCAGAAAAAGAGAGGGTGTAACGTTCATAAGAGACACAAGAGTTTTTACGTGAAAACCACTGAAAAGGAGGAAAAATCACGGGGCCTGGCCCAGTTTGAACGAATCCATTAGTGTTTGCAGTCATTACAAATGAGGCTCTTCCTTAAGAGGAATGTCTTGGCTCGATGTGGCAACTATACATCATACATAGTATATTACAAAGTGGGAGCTGGAAGAATCAATGTTGACATGTTTGTTTGGGGCGGCAAAATCATAGTCGGCGAGCGACAACAGAAGAACTGTAGTATGACGACGGAGATCGGAAGGATCATAGTCGGCAGGTGACCGGGGTTGCAAGGACCGTTGTCGGCAGACGACGGATGTCAAAAGGACCGTAGCCTTATGACAGTGGTTGGGAGGACTGTAGTTGGCGGGCGATGAGGGTCGGGAGGACCGTTGTTGGCATGGATTGTAGTCTGCTGACGACGGAGGTCCAAAGGATAGTAGTCGGATGTGAGTATAGTCGGTAGGCGACTGAGGTATGAAGGATCATAGTCGACAGACGATGGAGGTCGGAAGAATCGTAATCGGATGACAGTGGTTGGGAGGACTGTAGTTGGCGGACTGGTGGAAGTCCTACATTGTTCGGCGGATTGGCGGATGTCCGTCAGTGTCCGAAAAGAACTCTGGCTGTGGTCAGGAAGAAATCCATCGATGATCGGTGGACGAACAGAAATCCAACGATGGTCAGCGGATTGGCGAAAGTCCGACGATTGTCGGCGAACAGGTGGAAGTCCGGCGGTGGTCGGCGAACAGGCGGAAGTCCGGTGGCGGTTGGCAAAGTGATGGAAGTCCGTCGGTGGTTTGGAAGAACTCCGGCGGTGGTCGAGATGAACTCCGACGATGGTCGAGAAGAACTCCAGCGGTGGTCGGGAAGAACTCCAGCGGTGGACGATGCCAAGAGAGCTCCCAAACTCCCTTTCTTTCCTTCTTCTTCCTCCTCTCTCATGAGAAGAGTGGGGGCTATTTATAGTTTTTTGAGAGTGGCATGACTTGTAAATATGTGGAGGATCAAGGTCAAAATGAGAGTGTTTGAATGGACAACCGATATTGATCCCCTTGATCATGAACCGTTTAATGGTCATTTGAAAGCCTTAATGATATCAGAATTCAGTGATCTTGGGCTCGTTGGATTTGTCTCGTCGAGCCGCTCGATTCGACTATAAGCATATTGTGTTTGGAAACTATTTGGTAATTCGAATTATGGTTTGAACCTTTTGAATGCACTTTGGGTCTTTGATTTGGACTTATTTGGGCTTGAATTGAGTCGATTTTGTTGTCGTTGGGCTCGTCTTCTCGAGACGTTCAGTTCAATTATAAGTTTGTTGAAATTGGAGTTCAGACGGTCTTTGATTTAATTTTTAAAGTTTCCAACTAGATTTTTGCCTCGAGATTCGTGCCCGATCAAGATAATTTTTGATGATATATCAACTGGATTGTTTATTTAAATCATTTTGAACAACTTGTTCATAAAAAGAATTATTTTCAGAATTAATTTGTTCATAAAAGAGCTTGTTTGGTAACTCGAAAATACTCGCTAGATATGTTCATGAATAATCTTGTTTGGTAGCGCATAAACACTCATCGTAATATGTTCTAAGATAATTATTTTTTAGTAAGCTCGATGAGAATTGTTTGTTTTGCTTATTAACATTTTAAAAGTAAAGACCATCAATAGCTCAATAATGCCTGTTTATTTAAAGTTTAATATGTACGAAACAAATAGAATACAGCTCAATCACAAACATCTATCATTTCAAATGAATCAAATCTGAACACAAATATAAAAGTTCGAATCGAGCTCGAACCAAATTTGAACAAGTTGATAATAAACGAGCTTAAGCATGAACATGTACTTACTCGACTCGACTTGGCTCGACTCGATTTGCTTGCTGCCCTATATATCGAAATAAGTTTTAGAAGCAGTTATTTATTTTAAAATGAATGTATAAATAGTTATTCAATTAAATTTATTTGATATTTACCTCAAAACACCTCTGATAATTATGAAATTATTTTAATCAAATCAGAATAAGAATAGCGTAACTCACTTTTCTATCATAAATATACAGAAATATTACACAATTGATATATATTCCAACTTGCAAAACATTCAAATGTTTACATAAGAATATACAGAAACTTCGCCATTACAAACAAAGAATTATGAAAATAACAAACAATTGCACTAATTACAAAACCAAACAATCAAACTCACATATAATTTACATCTACAAATAAATTTAAATATACATTGCCGATTCAAAAAAGTAAAACTATAACTCATTGCAAAACACCTATCATTTCGTCAGAAATTACAGGCATTGCCATTGAGTCATGTTCGACTCTCGATCGACAAAAATAATAGCTCTCTTTGCAACAATTTAACATTTCCTAATAGTAATTAGGTTTTAATTACAAAGATTTACATGAAAGAAAGTAGTTAACAGCACCGTCACTCGGCCCGTTATCGTTCAAATAACCATCAGTGGCGGAAAACTCAGCTGCGGGTGAGGTGACAGTGGAGAGAGCGGCGGCAAGCTGAAGAATCCCTTCGCGTCCGTCCCGTCCCAAACCGCAGACCAGATTGACGGCGTCAACGGTTCTTCAGACGGAAAATTCCACTCATATTCCTCTAATCTCTCTTTCTTCACCACCCTGTCCTCTTCCTCCATCTCCTGTCTTCCCCTCTTCTCCGGGGGCACTGGATGCGCAACCGCCTGCGCCGGGGGCTGAACCCAATCCGCCGAGCAACCGACCTCATTCGGAAAGTTCAGAATCGCCTTGCTTCCTCGCATCCTGAACGCGGCGCGATCGTACGCCCGCGCGGCCTCCACCGCGGTATCAAACGTTCCAAGCCAAACCCGAGATCCCCGGCGTTTCGGATCGCGGATCTCCGCCGCGAACTTCCCCCACGGCCTCTGCCTCACGCCACGGTACCGGTTTCCGTCGCACATCTCCGGCGCCCGGTTCTCATCGACAGCGCCGTGTATCCACTCCACCTTTGGAGCAGCAGCGTGAGGGACATTGACCTTGAGGCCAAACTCGAACCGGTCACCGCCGAACCGTATCATCGTTTGCGCCGGCTCCTGGAATCTGAACCCGGTGCCTAGCGGATCGGCATCGGTGTCTTGAAGGTAGTCGGAGATGCTGAGGTCACCGGGAATGGGGTTAACTTCCGCCGACACCACTGGTAGCTGCGGCTTGGGCGACTCCAATCCGGTTAGGGTGTCGACAGCGTCGCCAAAGAGGTGTTCGCGGATGAGATCGAGGGCGGAGATGGCTTGCTTGGCCATGGAGTTCAAAGATAAGATGGTTTGACTGAAGGAGAAGAGGCCTTGAGGCGTCTATTTATGTTTCGGAAAAGATGGGAGCATGAAAGGATGTGGTCACCGCTTTTGGTGTTCCCCGGGGATTCCTGAAACAAAAGTTTGAGAGTTTTAATGACGCTTGGGACTGGGCTCTGCTGCGAGCCAAGAAAGCTTGATATTGGAGAGAGAGGTAACGGGATCCTAGGGTTGGAGAAATGGTCGTTGTTACAGAGACACTGAAATTGTTTAGACTTTTTGTGCAGCCAAGTTGTTCGACATAATGGCTGACAGAGAGAGTTTATCTGCCAGGAAGGAGAGAATGCGGACGATGGCGTTCGGCTTGGGCAAGTGCATGGGATTGGTCTCGGCCTTTGCGGACAAGATGGCTTCGACGAAAAACCTGGCCGATGGCAACTGCTGATGAGTGATGACAGACAGCGAGCTTTTATGGTTAGATTAGCTAATCAAATTAACCATTGAGGAGAAAGGTATTACTTTGTTATTAAATATTTTAGCGAGTTATCACAAAACATATAATTCTCGTCTGTTGGGCCTATTTGGTTGGAGAAATTATTAGGTGCGGAGTCTAAATAGATTTACGTCTGGATTCTAATAAAATGTTAGAACGTGATTATCTAATATTTATATTTTTTTTCTTGTGATCCGACGACCCGACTAAGTCCAATTTTTACGTTTTTAATAAAAAAAACTCATGAAATGCCCAAATATTTAAGGTTTTGGTTAGCAGAATATCACTTTTTGATACTTTCTGAGAAGAAAAGCTAGTATTAATCTCATGCCCTATTCATCTTTAAGAGGTTGGATATAAGAGAGATTCAACCTACTTCTGTTACTCTTTAATTGGCGGATAGATCCTTTACTTATCCGAAAGGAGTAATAGCGGATGTTTTGATCAACGTTGATAAGTTTATTTTCCTTGTTGATTTTATTGTTTTTGACATTGGAAGAAGATAGAGAAATACCTCTCATTTTTGGAAGATCTTTTTTAGCAACATGGAAAGCAATAATTGATGTTTAAAAGGGAGAATTAGCTATAAGAATTCAAGACCAGAATGTGACAATTGATGTAATAAAATCTATAAAATTTCTTCAAAAAAGGAAAGAAGATTGCTTTAGGGTGGATTTGGAGGATGTAGTAGTAGAAGATCTCAAGGAAAAATTATTGGAAGGAGAAGTGATTGAGGAAGAAGAAGATGAACAAGAACAAAATACATCTAATGAGCCCATTAAAATACAATCTAGATAAGAAAGATGGAACAAAGGACATTTTGAATTGTAGAAAACTTCATCTTTAGATAAAATTTTAAAACTATATATTAAAAAGGCTCCAACTTCGAAACATAAACTTTTACCTTGTCAGCTTAAGTATGCATATTTAATCAAAAACTTCACTTTTCTTGTAATCATTTCTGTAAATCTAGAATAACATCAAGAGATTGAACTGATAAAAATTTTAAGTAACTATAGAAAGGCTTTTGGGCAAACTATTGCTGACATTAAAGGAATTAATCCTTCCATTTGTATGCATAAAATCCCAATGGAAGCAAATTCTATACCTAAATCTGATCCTCAAAGAAGAATTAATCCTTCCATGAAAGATGTTAAAAAAGAGATTCTTAAATGGTTAGATACTGGGATTATCTACCCAATTTCTGACAGTTCTTGGATTAGTCTCATTCATTGTGTTCTTAAGAAGGGAGGATTGACTATTATATCCAATAAACATAATGAATTAATACCCACTAGAATAGTCACATGCTAGAGGATTTGTATTGACTATAGGAAGCTAAATAAAACAACAAGAAAAAATTATTTTTCTTTGCCAATTCTTGATCAAATGCTTGATAGGTTGGCAGGGTGCCCATTTTACTTTTTCTTGGATGAATATTTTAGTTATCATCAAATTCCTTTTGCATCCGAGGATCAAGATAAGACTATTTTTATCAGTCCCTACAAAACTTTTGCTTTTAGAAGAATGCCTTTTGGTTTATGTAATGCTCATGCTACTTTTCAAAGATGCGTGATTTCTATCTTTTCAAACTTAATTAAGTAGGATATTGAAATATTCATGGATGATTTCTCTATATTTGACACTATATTTAATTTATGTTTAGAACACTTAACTATTATTTTAAAAATATGTGTTGAAACTAATTTGGTGTTAAATTGGGAAAAATGTTAGTTCATCATAACTAAAGACATTATTTTAGGGCATAAAATATCAAGGAAAGGATTAAAAGTATACACTGCAAAAATTTAGGTGATTAAAAAACTTCTTTCACGCAATTCTATTAAAGTGATTAGAAGCTTCTTAAGATATGCTGGTTTTTATAGTAGATTTATAAAGGATTTCTCTAAAATGTTTAAGCCTTTATGCCATTTGTTAAAATAAGATGTGCATTTTATATTTGACTTTTCATGTCATAAAGCTTTCAATACTCTAAAATACTCTAAAGCATCATTTGACTACTACTCATGATTTGTCTTTACCTTTTACAGAGATGTGTAATACTAGTGATAATACTATTGGTATAATTCCGGGGCAAAAGAGATATAAGAAATTTTATGTTATCCTTAATCTGTAAATTTTACATATTTTACTTACTCTTCTAAGATTTTTATAGGGCTACAGATTATGGGAGTTTAGAATGATATTGAGAGTGGAATGAGTTAGGCCCTTCTTTTGTCTCTTCACGTTTGACTTAGTGGTCGATGATACATATGCTCTGAATTACATCACATTAAGAAGAGAATCATTAAGAAACATATTAATTTACATTTCATCAATCAAAAACATTTTATCCATATAAGTATATCCATTATTTTGATATTAATTTTTACAGAAGTGATTGAATCTCCACCAACCCTTATTCTTATTGAGTAGGATAATTATTGTAATTGTAATAGACAATACTAGTATTTGCAAGTAAACATTCTTCCTCTTGGGATCGATATTCTACTCTATCACTATATTATTTGATTCGTCAGGTATACTTGCGCATATTAAGTGTGATTTTTAAACCTAAGCATTGTTTAGGAATTGATAGAGCCCTAAATCATTTTCACAATTATTCAAGTTACTCCACTACATCCTCCGATCTATAGTTTATAAAACAAATTAATATTATTATAAATTTGGATAAATGTATATTAAATATTTTTAAATTTTAAAAATAAATTATTAAATAGATAAAATTTTAAAATTATCAACAAAATAAATCTATATTTAGAATTTAAAAAAAAACATCAATTCACTTAAACTAATAAAAAAACCAGTTTTCTATATAAATTATTTTGTTTTCTAAAATTATCTTAATCAACTAAGTTAAAAAAAAAAA